GTCTAAAATTCCCTCTTTCCTTTTTTATATCGAGCAGTCATACAGTTTCATTCTTCTTTCCTTTAATCTAGCTTTCTTTCTGATATCGTCAGTCACAACATTACTTTGATTTCTGTTTAACTAAACATTTTGCTTTCCAAATCTATTTGACCATAAAATTTTTGTTGTATTTAAACTAGTCTGGATTGAGCAGCATGCTAGACTGGTTGATAGCAAAGGGAAAATCGGTATTAAGCTAATCTGATATTCGTAAAGCAGCGTTAATTAAGTTCAATGCAAGATATCTTGGCATCCTTCGTATATGCTTCTATACTTTAAGTTTTCATTTACTGAGAATTTTAATTAGTCGATGTTTTAACAAACATGAATGATTTTAGTGGCCACTTCAGTTTGATTTTAGCTTCTTTGTGAACTCCAGTTATTGTTGCTGTTGTGATTGAATGCACGTGTTGCACCTGAAATCGTCACTTCCATAAAATACCGCTGGTATCTGTTCTGGTATTTATGGTTCATACTGCCTGCATTTGGGCATGTTGTTGCTAGAAATAAATGTTTTAGTAACACTAGTTTTGTACTTTATTTGTCAAGAAACGAAATTGCATACTTAATTCTTTGATGCAAAGTTATAAGGTGTGAAATAATCGAGCAAGAAGTTATTGAGGTATGCTGGATTTATATATAGATAATACAGAGGTTATATTTTTTGCGTCTTATCCCTTGTCTTAGGTACTACGAAGATTTTTCTTTCTTTTGCGGTTGTTAATACAAGGATTGATTTTCACATCCGGATAAATAAAAGGAATCTTCGTTAAAGAAATTAGTTTACGATTAGATTTCCACTGTTGCGGTTGAATTTAATATGATCGGTAAAATTATGATTGTTTGTAGGGATGCATGTTTATGATGTTTTACGATGTTTGGAATAAGACTGAATATGGTTAAAAAAATAATGCAATAATAATCGATCAAAAAATGATTAATTGATTCGTCGGCAATCGAGTGAATCTCATAGAATTAAGAGTGTTACAGAATTCCATGAATGATCAAGACAATGATAAGTGTGATAAATCGTTGCTGTTTTCAAGATTGTGTTAATATTCACATTGCAGGCACTAATCTTCGTGACAAAATGCCATTTAAAGATTCGACTAACAAGACGCCACGTCGTCACCAAAATGATAATTTGCGAACAAATAACAGTAAAACTCCGAGAAGTGCGAAGAGGTAAGTCGCTTACTTTCTCCTTTAGCTGATTGGTATTAGAGGAGCAGATGGTTTGTTATAAAGCAGTAAGTATTCCATATTATTTCCATGTAGCCATGATTTCAGATAATTTTCCTACCTCTATCCGAATCACATTTCATGTTCACGAAATTTCAATAAAATTTTTTGACACGTTATATGTTCTCTGAAATATAATCTCACGAACTTTAAGTTGTATTACTTTTATTATTCCCTTTCAGGGAAAATATGTCACAGAAAACTCCAAATCACAATTCAAATATGTCATTCAACAAATCAAAAGGTGGTTTGAAAAAACGTGAACTTACGCCGTCTAGAAATCCCAATTATAGCGGTGTTGGTGGTGGTGATCGATTCATACCGAATAGGAGTGAAACACAGTTTGAATTTGCGAACCACTGCTTTGTTAATCATAACTCCGAGGTCAGTTTACATTCCCAGTTTATTTCAACCTTTTAATTTATTGATTTTGTTTTTTCTTTTCAAAATAACTTGTTTTGAGATAAATGTGCTACTTCATTTAATGTGACTTGCAACACCTTAATTTTGTGCTTATTTGGTCTCTGCAGTTGCATAAGTTTTCGATTTTATAATTCTGTTGTCCATTTGTGTTAAGCTATCTATGAAAACTTCCATTCTGCATCTTTGATCATGTCGAGATGTTACTTGAAAGTAGCCTGAAATAGAACAGTCTTGTTGTTTTGTTGGAGATTTACTGGTGAACCCTAACATGAATCTTTGTTGTTCTTGGTAATAGAATGTTTCATACTTACTCTATATTTATTTCGTAATTATTGTCCAGTAAAAGTCATAGGTCTGATGCACTGTAAATTTATAATGCTTGTTGGGAAGCATAAGTTCATGATACTACATTCATGACATTTTTTGGCGGTGGTAAACTGCAGCTAGTGTTACATTTTGATTTTTAATAAGATATGTTCGTTTCATTTATAACTACATGTGCCAGATTCGTTGCAGTTAACTCATATCTTTTCCGCTGTGTCTGTATCTATATCTTTTATTTGTTGCAGGGTGATTCACTTTTAAACATGTCAGCGTCTGCACCAACCAGTCCATCAAGAGCCGAAAGGGTTTATATGATCAAAATGATGCGTGGTATATTTTTGATTTTTCGATTAAAAATCATTTTTCTATGATTTATTACTAAATGGATTTACTGCTAAATATATTACTAGTATTTATTTTAAAGTTACTAGTATTTATTTTTTTAAAGTATTACTACTAGTATTACTACTATTTATATATCTCTTCTATGTTATAATTATTAGTTGGCATACTTTTAGCCAAATCAGCAAACGATGTGGATACTAGCATTGAGGAAAGAATTCTATGCTACAAAAAGGGCCAAGCACCATTACCACCACTGGGTTGCACTATTCAACCAAAAGTACTTTATACATCAAGCACTATGAAGCCATCTGGAAGTGTTAGTAAAGGATTACGATATATACCTAATAGCCCGGAGCGCATCTTGGATGCACCAAATTTTATGGACGATTACTGTACGTTCCAACACTCAGTTGATTTAATTCCCATCTATTTTTTTTTTTTTCACTTATAGTGTTGTTCTTCAATGATTAGACTATTTACATGCGCTTCCTTGCAGCTTTTATCTCCTCGGTGCTTCTCTGTGGAAAATTTCTCCATATTTCTAGGATCATAAAAAAATAGTACGAAGTTCTTTTTTTAGAAGTTTGTCGAGCATTATTTTGCATTCCGAATTAAATTGGAATTTTGGGTCTTATTTTGTTGTAATCCAATAAGTCTTACGTTGATTTTATTTTTAACTCATTCGTAACGAAGAAGAACTGACTACTTTTGTTGATTTCAGCATTTTATTAATGTTTTATGCATAGTAGTAATACTTATTATCAACTAATTAGTTCTATATTATGAATATCATGATTTTCAGATATGAATGTGATTCACTGGAGCTGTGATAATGTTATTGCTGTCGCCTTAACTTATGCTCTTTACCTGTGGAATGCTTCTACCGGAGAAATTGTTGTAAGTTTTTTTCTACTTTGTACTGGAACTTCTAGTTGTAAACAGAACTGTTAGTTACTATTCAAGACATGATGACGTGTAGCACTACATGCTTTTCGGCACAAGCATGGTGGCAGTCAGCCGATCAAACAATGCGTTTGTTGCAAGCAAAATGCAAGCATGTAAATGATTCGTATCTGTATATTTTGTGCTATGCCTCCTTCAGATAGTAATTTACTTACTGTTCTTCCGCTTTTGGAACTTTAATAAAGATCAATTTCAAGCACAGGATTTTATTTACAGACACTTTTTGAATTACCAGAAGAATCTGGGAATTATATCACATCAGTGCAATGGGCAGAACAAACCTCGGTTTTGGCAGTTGGACTTTCAAATGGATTTATCAAGGTTTATTTAAATAAAAAGCGGTTAACATTTTAAATTTTTTCTAGCTAGTGTTATAGTGGAGTCTGACCAATTTATATTTTATCTGAATTCGGAAAAACTGGTTGACAATAGTGATTTTCGCTTGATGAGAATCATGTAGTGTTTAGTGTT